CACCATGTTGGACAGGCTGGTCTGGAACTCCTGACCTCAGATGATCCGCCCACCTTGGCCTCCCCAAGTGCTGGGATTAGAGGTGTGAGCCACTGCACCCAGCTACTAACATTCTTTCAACACAAACCAAGCCAGTCTTTCTCATACCTCGAACCTGCATCAGAATCACCTAAGGTATTTGTAAAAAAATAAATAAAACTAGCTCTCTAATCCCAGACCTACTGAATAGAATCTCTGGGGAGAGGCCTTGGAATGTATTTTTAAAATAAGCCACCTTGGTTATTTTTCTTCATAAGATCTTTAGAAACACTGACCTGCACTCTCTTACCTCCTCGCCCATACGATTCTTGGGTTGAAATAGTCTTTTCTCTTCTACATGCCTATAGAATTCTTACACAATTTTCAAGGGCTACCTCTTCCTAGAAGCCTTTTCAGATCTTCCCAAATTGAAGTTAGAGACGTATCTTCATTATTGCAGTTGGCCTTGTAGAGTTTTGCATGTTTTCTACCAAACAGCTCCTGGAGGGCAGTGGTTGTCGATTATCCTATCAAGCATCCCCAGTGCCAGAAAAACACGTTACATATCATGGGCATTCAAAGAGTATTTGTTGAATATTGTTGATCCTCAAATTCCTTTTTCCTAGTAAGCCATCTCTTTTGTTCTTCAGTAAAGAGTAGAAATCTCTTCAGAGTAATATTAATAAACTCGGGGTGATGAAGGTAAATAATAATCAGCATTATCAGCCTCAGTTTCCAGAGCATCAGAACAGGGATCAGTGTCTGTGAATGGTGGCGAGGGGTTGTTTGTGATCCCTGTTTCTTTCTCATCCTCTTTGTATATTCTTCATAAGGCAAATTGAACAAATCCCTCAAAGTCCAAGTTGAATACATAACAATTACAAAAAGGAAATGCTATCGTGGGTTCATTTTACTTTCAGTAAACAGATTTGATCATTGACCTCACTAAGGAAGCAGTTTTTGTAATACACCTTCATGTTTGTTCTCTGGGACACTAAGTGGAGTAAAGTCCATGCAGCTGTGCTTCTGTTGATGTCCTTTCTAGGAGAACTGTGCGGAGAAACTGTAGAGATGAACTGCAGTAACCACTAAGATGGTTTCTCCAAAGATGCTCTGCACTGTCACTTAAATTTTAGGCACTTTTGTGGTTTTAAGTGACTTTTAATTCCATCCCATGTTTCTCTCTCCATCAGCTGGTTTCCTGGATAGGGCATTGCCCAGACGGTGTTATAAGGTGATAGGCATGTGGAGCTAGCCAATGTTCTAATATACTGGAAAGTGACAAAGAGAACAAGGTATTAGATGCACTCAGAGTATCTGGTTATTGAGGATTAGAGGGAGATGTAATAACTGAGGGTGCTAGCACATTTTGGGAGTTTCTCCAAATGTTAAATCACTGTTCCTTATACATATTCTATATATTGATCATTTGGCTTCACACCAGGCAGCAAGATTAAGCTGAGAAAACCACTGAATTTGGCAGGGGAAATCAGATTTTCAGTGAGTAGGTTAGGATTTATGACAGCAGTAGTGCTTATGGAGTGTAGTGCAAGAGACTAGGTAGCCATCATAGAGGGAGAGTCCTTACATATGTTTTGAATATTTTGAGTATTACTCATCTTTTGAATCTTAAAGTCTTTGGACTGCTAATGTTTGAGAAAGCGGGGAGACTTCCAAGTGAACAGAATCTCCAAGGAAAAACCTACTCACCTAAGTGAGTAGATCAGGAAATTTTAAACTTAGGCAAAGAAAGACCTTTTCCTCCCCTGCTCCCTCTGAAGCACTGAGGGCTATAGTGGCCAAAGATAATGAGAAAAGATCTTGGAATTTGGTGGGAGGAGCTGCCTGTTAGAGTAGGTTTAGTGCAAGTTGGCTAGAAAGGGGGTGGGCTAATAAAGTTGCAGTAGGCTTGGGAAAGGGCAATAGTGCACATTGGGCCATTCCTTGAGGAACAGGCTTAGAAAGAAAAGAAAATGGTCATTATATAAGCTGGACAAAGTCTCCACGTATTAACAACCAGAAAGTACAGTCCTAGCACCCCAAAGAAGTTGCTTGTGCTGAGCCTTTGCTGTCAGACTCCCCTCCATCCTAATCTCTGGCAACCTTCCCTATAGGTTTTCGTTTTCAGGGTATCATAGGAGTGAAATCACACAGAGTGGGAAAGACTGGCTTCTTTCACTTAGCATAATGCCTACTGTATGTACATTTAAAGTGCATTTTAAAATGCAAAGAATCCTTGCCCGCATCCCCTGCCGAAACAAATAAAACAGGGATCTGAGAAGATGGATGTACAGAAAAGTGAGTTAGGAACATACTGAGATGTAAACAGACATTTACCTCCTGAGGACTGTTTCAGTTTTCAGTGAAATTAGGCGAGCTTGTTAGCTTTGAGTGAGTGTTGGAAAGGATGGAGAGGAAGTGACCTTGACCATTTAAGTGTTTTCTTAAACTAGCCTCCTCTCCTTCTCTGACCTTTTTCACTCCCCCTGTCTTCCCTGAGTTGGGGGTAGGGGAAGATACACACACACACACACACACACACGCATACATAAATATATATATGTGTGTGTGTGTGTGTGTGTGTATATATATATATATCCATTTTCATGGCATAACAATTTTGTTATTTTTGCTCCTGAACTCTGGAAATGGTGCTTTTACTATCGAAAGAGCATATGCAAAATCTTAGTTTCTTATGTCCTCTCTTATAAAGAGAGCATCCACACATAGCAGATTCTAATTTCAGCCGTAGTTGAGGGCTATCAGATGACACGTGGTGGTTACCAGGATGTGATACAAGCTAGAGCCATATACTTGTATTTCAGTCCGGGATTTAGTTTTACTAAATTTTTCTTTTGAAATTTTTGTATTGTTTTCCTTGTTACTGATAGAAGTTTAAAAGTTAAGAATTAAAAAAGATAGAATAAAACAAATTATTTTTTAGTATCTGGAATTGGAACTTTTAGATGTAAAATATAAACAATGTATCTGTTCATAATTCCCATGCTTTTATTTGGTAGTGTTGATTTATTTTTACAAATCAGTGACTATGAGATTAGTAAGTGCTTTTATTAAATTGTATATATATACACACACACACACATATATAAATGTTTAATTATATTTAATTCTAAAAGCACTTACTAATCTTATCCTCACTAATTCTCCTGGATACTTTTTCAATAGAAATGTAACTGGGTTTTGTTTTCCTTTTTTTTTTTCTATAGCTGTGATATTCAAAGCACAGATGATATTATTCCACCAAAGAGCAAGTAGAAAGCAGGCAGGTTTTCTTGGGACATTTATTGCATTCATCAATTATTACCTTCACCTTACTAGTTTTCATTCATGATGAGTAATACATTTATATCCTCGAATTGTTGACTTGTTTATATTGACAACATATTCTACTGATAATGTGATTAGCAGAGAGATGTAAGATGTTACTATATACCAAAGGCCTTCCTTGGTGCTAGTGTTGTGCTTATTACAAATTCAGCATATTGCTCTTCTAACATAAATAGAATTACACTACTGTGTCTTCTCATTTATCTGGAGAACAATTATCTGATACTTCACATATATCTAGAAGTCAGAATGTAAGCCCCAAAAGCCCTCAGAGTGGCCACAGTTTGCTAAAAGCAAATGTGATAAATCTTGTGCCCAGTTTATAATGGATACTTTATACATATTGCCTTATTTAACTCCCACAGTAATCTTTTGTGATAGCTATTGTTGCCACATTATAGAAGAGGAAATAAATTGAAGATTCTGAAGAGGTTATAAACCTTGTCCAAGGTCTTCTATCTAGAGAGTATCGCAGCTGAGATTTCAGCATGGGTTTAGACCTTGTCCAAGGTCGTCTATCTAGAGACAGTGTTGCCGCTGAGATTTCAGTATGGGTTTGTGTGTCCCCCAGATCCTCACTCTGAGTCCAGTTGCTCCCATTTTCAGTCATTCTCATAAATATTTTTTCAGTACCAACTATGTGACAGGCCCTGGTATCCGGGATTAAAGGCAATTATACAGAGTCCTATAGAAATCCTTTATCTGTTTTTTTTGGCTGCAGTAAATATGAAACAGACTAGAAAAGAAAGGAGGCATGAGGACAGTGATATTGTCTCTGCTACTGACTGTCACATCTGCAGGGTGAGCACAGTACCTAGTAGGAACTCAATAAATATATGTTGAATGGGTGAGTGATATTAGTGAAAAGTAATAACTAGGAGAGAGAATCAAACATGAAAAGGATATAAAATAAAAACCGTGATTGTCTTGGACCAGTTAGTGTTTGAATAAGCAAAAAGCTCCATAGCCCCTAGGGCATGAAGAGCCTCTCAGTGTACTCACTGATGCCCATAATGATGACCTGAGGCCACTGAGGACCATGGTGATCCAGGCCCTGTGCAGCAGGGAGTCACTCATGAATGTGACATCCAGTTTAAAAATAAAGGAGGCACCTAAAACATTTTAGAAAATGTTTCATTAAAAATGGTCTTTTCTCCCTTAAAGTGTGCTAAAGAGCTAAACTTCATTGTCTTGGAGAAATCCTATATTGGAGTAGCTCTTTCTCTAATAATATTGGATAAAGAGGGATAACACATCATATAATTTGTTTTCTTTTCCCTAATAAGTCATAGCATTAAAATTTCATGCCAGATGAATCTTTAAAAAATTCAAATTCTTTTCTTTGGAAGATACACTATAAGAAACTATACATAGTATACAGCATATAACCATCTATAGTACTGTAACAAGTGAATAGGTCACATAAAACAACCTTTTTTGAGCAATGTCATCTGAGAGGATTATGATGTGTTGAAATAATTCACGTTTGGAATATCATTTAGCTTTTTATAAGGAAAAATGAGGAAATTATAGGAAACTATTGAAATGATTTAAATTTCATTATTCAACAGCATCGATGCGCTACTTTCTTGTTTCAAGAATGTATCTATTAACAGTGATATTTTGCCTTACAGCTTTTCTGGGAGAAGAGGCTACAAGGACTTAGTGCATCAGATGTAACAGAACAAATTATAAAAACCATGGAACTACCCAAAGGTCTTCAAGGTATTATCTAAGTTCAGTTGAGCAGACATTTATTAAGTACCTACTGCATGCCAGGCACTCTGTTCGATGCTGTGGATTCAGCAATGACTGACAGGAGGTCTTTGCCTTGGGAGGTCATATGCCTTGCTGGATGACGTACCTCTTGTGTTTTAGTAAAGCCAGGCAGAAGCTACATGAAAAACGTGTATGTTACAGGGATGCTGCCGTGTAGTATATTATCTTAGATTTTTTTCTGTGTAAAAATTTTGGTTTTAGGTTAGGTTCATCACAGAAGCTAACCCATGTGCTGCTTTTAGCACTGGATGCGGATGAGTAACAGAATTTCTCAAGCTTCCTGCTTATAGCAGCATCTGGCCCTACCACCTGCTCTTTCTCTCATCCTCTTACCACAAGAACAACTAACAGCTCTCCTTCTGCCCCTCCCTCCACAAACTGGTGCTCTAAGTAGCAGTAGAAACAGATGCACTTTGGTCCAGCAACAGCAGCCAGTGGGATCTGGGGTGGAAAATTCAGTCGCTGGTCTACCTTTCGTGTTATATGAGAACTGCGAGTTCTAGAGAAGAGTTTATTTTTCAAGTATTAAAAATTTGGCTTCTAAAGCTTGATATATTGAGAATTGCTCAAAAATCCTCATAATTCATGGTTAGATTGTTGCCTTATCTCTTTATGTTCTTGGAATGTTGGCCTTAACTAGTTAAACAGGTTTAGGACTTTAACCATTGCATTTACATGTGACACAGTGCCAGTATCTTACAAGTAATCAAAGTGTGCAGTTATTAATTCTCTGATTTGGGCTGTTTTGTTAGGTTTATGAGAAAAGCTGTTAAAGCCACAGGAACAGCTTGCTTGCATTGGCTTTTTCTTTGAATCCCGAGACAAAGAAGATAATTGTTGAGATATTTCTGGAAATTAATGTTAAAAGCTACAAGGAGAAACTATACCAGTACTCTAGGAATACATTAAAAGGGATACTTGAGTATAGTCACTTCACCAGGTCTCACCTCATTAAAATAATTAACATTGCTTGGGGAAATATAGCCAACTTTTTAAAAGTTTAGTACCTTGGAAAATGTGTTTTAAAGTTCTGGTAAAGTATTATTAAAATGCTCAGCTATAAGCTTACAGCAAGCATGAGGATTTGTTTTTTAAAGTAAGAAAAAATGCTCACCTACTCTGTTACTATTTCTTTAGTGTGAATTATTTAGTGTATCATACCTATTGAGTAGATATATTATCTTTTGCTGCTTTGTTTTATATCGGTTTTACATATATGATCTCAAATATATATAAAAATATCAGTTGTTTTAGGTCACATAAAGTTTGCTCAGCACATTGAGACATTTCCTTTAACTAGTACTTATTTCTCATTGCAGGAGTTGGTCCAGGTAGCAATGATGAGACTCTTTTATCTGCTGTTGCCAGTGCTTTGCACACAAGCTCTGCGCCAATCACAGGGCAAGTCTCCGCTGCTGTGGAAAAGAACCCCGCTGTTTGGCTTAACACATCTCAACCCCTCTGCAAAGCTTTTATTGTCACAGATGAAGACATCAGGTAATGCAGTTTAACATGACTTCATAAACTTGGGTTTTTACATTTGGGTAAATTTTATGCTGTTCATTAGGTTCAGTGGCATAGCTAGTAAGTGATATATCACCTAGAAAGTTATACTTTTTTTTTTTTTTTTTTTACAGAGTTTTACAGAAACTGATGGAAGGTGAAAAAAGACCATTATAACAAATACATGCTTGAAAGGGGTGTAAATGCTGCATGCCAGGGATATCATCATGGTCATGTCCAAAGGACAGGCACCAGATCAGTTATATTCCCTAAGCATCATTTTTACTGTGTCTTTTGCAATTTGGGATTCTGACTTTCTATTCTAAAGAACCTCTTTCTGACAGACACAGTGGCTCATGCCTATAATCCCAGCACTTTGGGAGGCTGAGGTGGGAGGATTGCTTGAGCCCAGGAGTTTGAGACCAGCCTGGGCAACATAGTGAGACCCCATCCCCACAAAAAATTTAAAAAAATTAGCCAGATGTGGTAGTATGTAACTGTAGTCCCAGCTACTTGGGAGACTGAGGTGGGAGGACTGCTTGAGCACGGGAGGTCGAGGCTCCAGTGAGCTGTAGTCGCATCCCTGCACTCCAGCTGTGGCGACAGAGCCAGATCTTGTCTTAGAAAAATGAAAATAAATATAAAGAACCCCTTTCACTCAGTCATGCCTTTTCTGATTGCTTCCTTCATTGGTTTGTCTGGAAACCAATCTCTCTTTAAATCAGATGATAGTGATGCTGCTCTTAAACTTACTTGTGACACAGTAGAGCAAGAAGAGAAGCAAGTAAGAAAGAAGAAACCACAGGTAAAGCAATAAAACAGAGTCAGGAATGAGGCAAGACGCAAACTATCTACTGACACCTTTCACTCTTTCTAAGGCTGACTCACAAGTTAGGGTTTCAGCAGCAAATGGTAAAAGGAAAACATCCAACTCAGATTGGTAGAACCCAGAAAATAGAAGCAAACCGTTGCACAGGAAAAGCAAAACTACTCCAGTTAGTAAGACCACAGAGCAATTCTTATATGGGTTTTATGACCTCAATATCATTACTTTATAGTGATACTTTATAGTGATACTATATAGTATATTGCATTTTCTTTAAAAATATGACCTTGTGTATACTTCACTATTTCTGTCCCCTGAATGTAAATCAGTTTAATTAGAGTATTATTCCTAGACAAAACTAGCAGATGGCACTTTCGAATCATGTAATTTTAAAATGTTTTATATTTGTTATTTTGTTTGTTTTTTGAGATGGAGTTTTGCTCTGTTGCCCAGGCTGGAGTGTAGTGGCACAATCTCGGCTCACTGCAACCTCCGCCTCCCGGGTTAAAGCAATTCTCCTGCCTAAGCCGCCCGAGTAGCTGGGATTACAGGCGAGCACCACTATGCCCAGCTAATTTTTTTATTTTTAGTAGAGACAGGGTTTCACCATATTGGCCAGGCTGCTCTTGAACTCCTGACATCATGATCCGCCTGCCTCGGCCTCCCAAAGTGCTAGGATTACAGGTATTACAGGTGTGAGCCACCACGCCCAGCCTATATTTGCATTTTTTTTTAAAATCCATACAAAGTTGACATGAAAATGTTTTTAAATGGGTAAGTCTATCTAGGTTTATAATGCGAAAGCCCTTCTTGGGTCTTAAAGTAATTATTTTGCAAAGATAAAAAGTGGTACAAAGTTGTATTCATATGCCTTGATTGCATATGAATATGAATAAAGTTTCTTAAAAACTTTATTTTTTAAGAAAACAAAATGTAAAAAATCAATGAAAGGAATCAACTTGCTCATTGGATTGTTCTTACCCTTGAGGAAGAAAATTACTCCAGAGACAAGTTCTTTTCCATCTTGAATGAATACTGAATCAGCAGGGATTCTGCCAGGTCCTTATGTGTGTTGATGGAGGTTCTCTGAGTTATATCACAGGAATGTTGATGGCTTCAACACCAGATCTTTTGATAGTTGAGGAAACTATCTCAAAGCCAATTCTGGATGATTTCCTTTTTGGGTAAATTTGTCTAACAAATTGCTCATTTGATTTAATTGTCATGACAGAAATTAGGAAGCAAATACTCCTTGCTGAATTAGTACATGTTCAAAATAAATTACTGCAAATGGAACTGTTACTCTTTATCTAATTGTGTATGCAATAGTCTGTCTACATTAAACCTCCAGCTGAAGACCCCAACAAGATATATCTCAAGTATTTTTAGCATATTTGATACTATTTTCATTGATGGGTAGTTTTGTTTTTTCATACTTTGTAACAAATTCTCACAAACTTTGCAGCTTAAAACAACACCCATTTATTAGCTCGAAGTTATTTGAGGTCAGAAGTCTGGGCCTAGTGTGACTGGGTTCTGTGTTTGGGTCTTACACGTGTCACTGGACTGTGTTCTCTTCTGAAGCTTGGGGTTCTCTTTCAAGCTCATATGATGGTTGCAGAATTCATGCCTTGTGTTTTAGGGCTGAGGCCCCTGTTCTCTTGTTGGCTATGGGATGGTGGCTGTCTTAGCTCCTGGAAGCTGCCTGTAGTTCCTTGTCTTGTGTCTCCTCCATGTGCCCCTTTATGCTCCCGTCAGGAAGATCCCAGCTCCACTAAGGGGTCCTATTAGGTGAGGCCCACTACAGTAATCTCTCTTGATTGACTCAAAATCAGTTGATTGGTAACCTAATCATGGAGAGATATACCATCATATTCACTAGTTCTGCTCACCCTTAAGGGGAGAGAATTATATAAAGAGTGCACATAGAGGTGGTTTTGGGGAAGGGGGACTGTTGGGGACATCTTACAATTCCACCTACAGCAATGGGCAAATGATTAAATTTCAGCTTTCACAAATGTGGAAAGTAATGCTCAAGATAGAAGAAAATCAATGGGAAATGTTAGAGTTTAAGATAAAATTCTCCATCCAAATCACTGCAGATGGTGCCATTTGCTCCATTTTCCCCATCTTCCTAATGAGGTTACTCTAGGACAGCTGTGGAGATTCTTGTACTCTTATCAGTGAGAGCCTGCCAGTGAAACTAATAGGTCATTTGTCATAAACTTTGAGTCACTGACCAGAGGTGAGACTAACTGTATAAGAAATAAACAAATATGTTCTGCTTGACCCTGTCCCATGGCATGAAAATCTGTCGGACTCCAGTTTCTTTTAATATGACAGAGGCTATAGAGCTAAGACTGACCCAGTGACAGCTTCCCTCTTTGAAAATTCATTTAATAAGTGGAAGTCTATACTTTTTAACTCTTTGTGGTGTTTTGGAGTTTCATAAAGATATCCAAAGTTTTTGTGGGAAGCAGTACATATGTGTCACCTTCACTATCTTGGACATAGTCTTATTTGGTCAAAGGGGTGTGATCTTGAGTAGACTGAATATGACTTGGCAGCTGGTTGAGTCCCTATGGAGTGAATACTCAGGGACCCTTAGTGCAATCTTCTATAGCATTGCTCCTCTACCCCTCTGCTGTCCCAGGTTTGTGAATTGCTGCAATCTGTCTTCCTCAATTATTGGTAGAGAAAATTACTTTTTTTTTTCAGTAGAACCCTTAGTATATTCCTTGTTGCATCTTCATTTCCCTCTCTGCATTTTTCCTTATCTCCTTTCTTCTGGTCTCAGGAGGTTTGCTCCGTTTTCTGTTCTGCTGACCCTCCCTCCTCTGCCATTGCCTTCTGTTCTTGTTCCCGCTGGAACCTTTTCCTACCAGTCTTCTCTCCTTCTCTCTTCTCTTGTCTTTCTTCAACCTTTGCCTCTCTATTTGGTTCTGGATGTCACTTTATATTTACCGAGCTTTGCTTGCTAGACCCGTATTAGGAATTTGTCTCTTACCCTCTGGGGGCTCTACTTTCATTTTTTTTTTTTTTTTAACTTTTTGAAGATAAAGTGTATACTGGTAGCCTTTCTTCCTGTGCTTTGTTCTTCATCTAGTGGTTCAGAGCCTTTTTAATGACTTGGAGTTATTAACCCTTACTTTTGAGGTTCCTTTGTAATCACTGAGACACAGAGAAACTCATGGCATGTTCTTAAGCAACTCACTTTCTCAGTCGAAGAGAAGCTTTCCAGTGTCTGTCCTCAGTGTGCAGAATCATGTGATCTTGGCTCCTTCATGCTGACCTGTTGCCTGCAGACCTGGGAACTCAGGAGAGAGCTCTCTCCTAACTAACCTAGCCACGGAATGTCAATCAAATCCCAGCTTATCATGTCTCTGCTTTCTCCATCTTTCTCAGTGCTTCCATGAACAAGTCACTTTTCCTTTGTTATTTATGTTCCCTCCATCTTTTATTCCTGCTTCTAAGTTATTTCTAATTGTCCTTATAGGAATAAACCCAAATTTTGACACAGTCGACATTTTCAAAGTTGAAGAAAAGGTCACTGACGTCAATCTGCTCTTTCTAGAATTTCATGTGTGATGAGGGATAACTGCCTGTGTGAACATTCCTCTTTTTGGCAAGGCTCATTGGTGAGATTTGATTTATGTTTAGAAGCAACTTCTGCAAAATCTGAAAAGGAACTCTATTCTTCTTAGAAATTTAATGATTTTGAAGTAAGGATGAACTTCTGTAGCAGCTTCATATTGTCATTACTTGCCAAATTATCAGTGCCTTTTTATTCTGTTTTTAAAAAGGAAACAGGAAGAGCGAGTACAGCAAGTACGCAAGAAATTGGAAGAAGCACTGATGGCAGACATCTTGTCGCGAGCTGCTGATACAGAAGAGATGGATATTGAAATGGACAGTGGAGATGAAGCCTAAGAATATGATCAGGTAAACTGACACCAGAGAGAGTGACTTGGAACTTAAGATGTTGTGTTTTCTTGGCCGGGCACAATGGCTTCTGCCTGTAATCCCAGCACTTTGGGTGGCTGAGGCGGGCGATCATTTGAGCTCAGTAGTTCAAGACCAGCTTGAGCAACATGGCAAAACCCCATCTCTACCAAAAATACAAAAAATTAATTGGGTGTGGTGTTGTATGCGTGTGGTCCCAGCTACTCAGGAGGCTGAGGTGGGAGGATCACTTGAGCCTGGGAGGCAGAAGTTGCAGTGAGCCAAAATTGTGCCACTGTTCTCCAACCTGGGTAACAGAGTGAAACTCCATCTCAGGAAAAAAAAAAAATGGTGTTGTTATATTTTCTTGTTATTTTCCCTTTAGCTTCCTCCGCAGTGAATGAAAAAGCTACTCCTCTGCTTGGGTTAGGCATGTGCTGTTGTTTGGTTCTTCTCTCTAGATTGAAGGACCATATAAGTTATTGCATCCTTTTGTTCCCATTCTGGGAGGACATTCACACCCCTGCAGTCACTTGCAAGGGATCTAGTCTCCTTTATTAAAACCAGGTGGAAAACCTCTAAGGTGTCATTAGAGAAGAGCAGCAGCAGAAGAAAAGGACTTTGTCCGGTAGGGAGGAACGGCCCCAGGAGAGGAAGGTGACTGTCTTCTCCATCACAGTAGCCTGTGGGGCATATTGCTTCTCTTTAAAGTTATGGTGGCAAAGTAGCAAAATCTCTTTATTTTTCTTAGGTTCTCCCTAGCACAGATTTGATGTGGGGAGAACAAGAAGGACACTGAAAAGCATAATAAATACTTTACCTTAAAAAATACACAATTTTAGGCTGGTTTTGGTGACTCATGCCTGTAATTTCAGCACTTTGGGATGCCAAGGCAGGCAGATCACTTGAGGTCAGGAGTTTGGGACCAGCCTGGCCAACATGGTGAAACCTTGTCTCTACTAAAAATATAAAAATTAGCTGGGCGTGGTAGGATAGCTGGAATTTTGTAATTGTAGCTACTGGAGAGGCTGAGACATGAGAATTGCTTGAACCCGGGAGGCAGAGGTTGCAGTGAGCCAAGATTGTGCCACTACATTCCAGCCTGGGTGATGGAGTAAGACTCTGACTCAAAAAACAACAACAAAAATGCACATTTTGATCTTAACTCAAACTCACATTCCAGGCTCATTGCTCTGTGCCGTGGGCATACTTTTCTTCAGAGGAGCACATGCAGATCTCCAAGGCTTTCTGTTGCGTCTTGCTTCCTGGCTTCCATCCTGCTTTATTTTGGCAGGCCATGTCTTCCTTTTTGCCAACCCAAAACCAATTATTTATTGTTTCCTTTGAAGCCAAAACAGAGGGAGAGATGGGGGTGCTAATGTGATGTCAAGGGTCAACAAAGCCTCTCTGCGAAAGTGACATTTATGTTGAGCCTGAAAGATACATAGGAATGAGCCAGGGGAGGTTTGGGTAAAAGTGTTCCCATTAGAAGGAACAGCAAGGAGAAACTTGATTTCTTTAAGGAATGAAGAAATTATCCATGTGGTTGGAATGTAGTACGTCTGGGGAGGGGCGGGGCAGGGGGAATGTGTGGGCGGTGAACCTAGTCACCTAAGACCTGTGGGTTGTTAGAGAGATTGATGACTGCTTGAGACTGATTATGAAAATTAGTAGGAATCACTGAAGAGTCAGTAGCATGATCAGATTTGCTTCTTTACAAGAGCCTTATGGCTGCTGCATGAATACAAGAATTGGAGTAGGGAAAGCTTGGAAGCAAGGAGACCAATTGGGTGTTGCTGCAGTAGTCTCACAAGAGATAATGGTGGCTTTAGGAGGATGTTGACATGCCAATGGGTTGGGAGAAGAAGAGACGGGTACATCTGAGATGTAGCTGGAGAAAGAATCACGTGACCAGGTGACTGCCTGGAAGTGAGGGTGAGAGAGTGGTGAGGATGCCTCAGGGTTTTCACTTGAGCCATCACTTGAGCTGGGTGAGAGGGAACTCTGTTTGGTAGGGGAACAGGCTAAGGGTAGGGATTGCACGGAGGGTGAGTTTAATTGTTAACACAATTTTCCCCTTCCACGAGTGCCTTTATCCTAATCGAGGAGTGGTTCATGCCACAGCAAGACCAAAATCCAATAGTACATATAATGTCTTACATTTACATGTCCATCCATGGCAGCACTTCTGGGTCACAGTTTCCTGACCATACAGAATCATTTCAGGCTGGGTGTGGTGGCTCACGCCTATAATCCCAGCACTTTGGAAGGCTGAAGCGGGTGGATGTCCTGAGGTCAGGAGTTTGAGACCAGCCTGGCCAACATGATGAAACCCTGTCTCTACTAAAAATACAAAAATTATCCAGGCATGGTGACGGGCACCTGTAATCCCAACTACTTGGGAGGCTGAGGCAGGAGAATCTCTTGAACCTGGGAGGTGGAGGTTGCTTGAGCCAAGATCACGCCACTGCACTCCAGCCTGGGCGACAGAGCGCGACTCCATCTCAAAAAAAAAAAAAACAAAAAAAAAAAAAAATTTCAATCCAGTTCAGTGCTATTTTAGCTCTTTTTCTATTCTCTTATTGAAGACATGAAGATGCTGTGTTGATACTTGGATTTTGTTTTCCAAACTGGCAAGGATGTATTTATGGGCTTTGATGAGCGTACTTAAAATGCTGGAAGTCTTTCAGAGGGAGGTCTGAAGTGTGTTTCTGCTGTCCACGGCTTCAGCTATGCTGTCTCTGGAGCACAGAGGGATCTGGATCTCACCTAATCCAGCTTCTGCACTGTTGCTTCAGAACGGACTCTTAGAAAGCCCTTCTGTTCTGTCAGGGCTTTTTGGTTTTTTTCCAGACTTTTCTCATGAAATTATTTCAGATAATCAAGGGTCACCTAATTGAGGTTTTACTAGACTTCTGCTTCCTTTTTTAAAAATTCTTATTATTTTCGAGATGGAGTTTTGCTCTTGTCATCCAGGCTGGAGTGCAGGGGTGCAATCTCAGCTTACTGCAACCTCTGCCTCCCAGGTTCAAGCAATTCTCCTGCCTCAGCCTCCCGAGTAGCTAGAATTACAGGTGCCTGACACCACACCAGGCTAATTTTTTGCATTTTTACTAGAGACGGTTTTTGCCATGTTGTGCAGGCTGGTCTTGAACTCCTGACCTCAGGTGATCTGCGCGTCTCAGCCTCCCAAAGTGCTGGGATTACAGCGTGAACCACCAGCCAACTTTTGCTTCCTTTATGGATTACTTTGCAGGTTGGCATCAAGGCTATTCCTGAGCAAGTCTGTGTTGTAGGCACTGGCACTATACTTATATAGAAGTTGGCAACTGCTCATTGCCTTGCACAAATGTGGATAATAGTAATAACAAACTAATATTGAATGATTAGAATTTTAATCAGGTCTTTAAAAGTAGCCATTATTTTGGCATGTTAGGTAGGGAGAGATTCAAATTATGTATGCAATCTTCTAAACTTGAGGATAGCATTATTAGACTAAGCCATTAGACTTGTAGATTGGAGAGGATTTAGATGTACTTCTTAATTATGAAAATTACATTTACCTTACTCAAATAACACCATATATACCTAAAAGTTTTAAGAAACTAAAGGACAACCACATGACTTAATCAGCTGTCCATGGTAACCTGTGGTAAGGTAGGACTTAGTTGAGTAAAGGGTGGGACATGGCCATCTTCACGGGCTCATAAGCGATAACCAAGGTCCCTTCAGGTCGGCCGGCCTCATCATGCCTCACCTCTTTCTAATCCTCCTTATTAGTAAGGTGGATGTTTATTCACTTATTTATTTGGTTAGTTAAATAGCAGGTTGCAATTTACTGTGTTACTTAAATTTTACAATCATAGAGAAATGCCAGGATATTAGACAAACATTTTAGAAGTGATTGTAAGAAGATGACTATAAAAACAAAGGTGTGAATATATTTAGCTATACATGAGATAGGATATCAAATACAAAAATAGTTCAATTTGCAGTTGCACAGTGCCATTTCATCCAGGTTAAACAATAGGAAGACTCGGCACATGCCTGTCATCTGTAAATGCTCTCATGTGAAAGAAATTGTGAAGTAAAATAAAGTATCTTGAGTAGAAATTTTTCTACATTTTCTCAAAATATATTTGGATTGTTCTGTATCTATTCTGCTCTTTCATTCGTATGCCCTTTGAATTCTCTTTTTATTCTGATGTAGATAATTGTAGTTAGAAAATATTTGCATAAACATATAGAAGAATACATATGATTTCTTTGGAAAATTAACAGGATAATAAAGGTTATCATCAAAATAAAATGAAACAATGAGGGGATATGTTGAGCACTTTTTATTTATGAAGTGCTGTAACTAAATGTTCATCAAGGCTGTAAAAACATGGTTCTAAGTGGAATTCAGTCTCTAATTCTTTTTTGAGTATTGCTGACCTCTCACCTGATAAATCACGGGATTACTTAAGTTTGTTCTTTTTTTTTTTTTACAGGTAACTTTCGACCGACTTTCCCCAAGAGAAAATTCCTAGAAATTGAACAAAAATGTTTCCACTGGCTTTTGCCTGTAAGAAAAAAATGTACCCGAGCACATAGAGCTTTTTAATAGCACTAACCAATGCCTTTTTAGATGTATTTTTGATGTATATATCTATTATTCAAAAAATCATGTTTATTTTGAGTCCTAGGACTTAAAATTAGTCTTTTGTAATATCAAGCAGGACCCTAAGATGAAGCTGAGCTTTTGATGCCAGGTGCAATCTACTGGAAATGTAGCACTTACATAAGATATTTGTTTCCCCCACAGTTTTAATAAGAACAGATCAGGAATTCTAAATAAATTTCCCAGTTAAAGATTATTGTGACTTCACTGTATATAAACATATTTTTATACTTTATTGAAAGGGGACACCTGTACATTCTTCCATCATCACTGTAAAGACAAATAAATGATTATATTCACAGACTGATTGGAATTCTTTCTGTTGAAGAGCACACACAATAAAGAACCCCTCGTTAGCCTTCCTCTGATTTACATTCATCTCTGATCCCTGGGCCTTAGGTTTGACATGGAGTTGGAGGAAGATAGCGCATACATTTGCAGTATGAACTGTTGCCTCTGGACATTGTGAGAATCGTGCTTTCACCAGAATTTCTAAGAATTTCTGCTAAATATCATCTAGCATGTGTAATTTTTTTTTCCTTGCCTGTGACTTGGACTTTTGATAGTTCTGTAAGATTAAGGCCTTTTCTTCCCTTGGGCATGAGTCAGATACACAAGTACCCTTCAGGTGTTACTAGAAGGCGTCCATGTTTATTGTTTTTTAAAAACAGCATAGTTTATCCTTGTTGAAGCGACATCCATGCAATCTTTTATCTATATTTAACTTCCAAATAAAGACATTAAAAAAAAAAAGAATGTTTGGCACTCTCTAACGTCCAGTAGCTTACTGAGTTAACAGGTGCAGGTCAGACTCTTGGCTACAGTAAGAGGCAGCTTCTAGGCAGATTTGCTTAATGAAAGGGTTTGCAATACTTTACAAACCATTACCTGTACCTGGCCTGGCCTCCAAAATATTAACGTTCTTTTTTCTGTTGAAACTCGTGAGTGTAACTTTCATACCACTTGAATTTATTGATATTTAATTGTGAAAACTAGCATTACATTATTAAACGAGTTCTAAAATCAAAACATACTTAATCTGATACCAAGGAAGGGAGGGAGTAGTTATAAGCAAATTAAAACAAATTTTGAGAGATAGAGCAAAAGTAAAATCATTCTATAGGAAGGATGTGTTTATTTCTTAACTCTTGAGTTCTTTTAAAATTAGACCCTAAATTATGCAGTGAAGGGTGTGACCAATTCCACATGAGTGTCACCTGTACATTTTATTATCACTACCTCCAGTTCCCAAGGCAGGGAAGAAGAGGGGAATAGTCAAAGCAATATGACTGGCTAGGTTTGGGCTGCTGTTTTTCCTGGACCTTTATGCCAAACTACATAAACACTTCTTAGAGTTCCTGATTTACACTCAACTTTGATCCCTGGACCCTAGGGCCATTAGTTTCCTTAAAGCAGTCCTGCTGGTGGATGAGCAGGGAAACTTGTAGACCCTGGAGGCCAACTGGTAGAGGGTGCCTGCCCTGGCCCCATCAGACTGTCCCAACTGGGGTGTGGGTGAGGATCATAGTGATTTCTTTTTAAAAGCTAGTGTGACTAGTGAGAATGGATGTCCAAGGGCTTTTCTCTTCCTCCCCTGAGTCCATGATTCTTCATTTGTGATCAGGGTTGGGGTAACTTCAGCTTGGTGATCATATATTCTTCTTACAAACCAATCCAGCCAAGATATATGTGCTTTTCTAAACAGCTTGTAAAAGCAAAAACACAATGTATACACATATAAAACGTTGTGTGTTTTTTTGTTTTTTTTTTTGCTTATATACTTCACTCAGGTGGAGAATAAGGTATGAAAGCCATTATATGGTGTCCCTTGGGGACCATGCCGTAAGTCCAGGGTGTTCCCAGTATACCCACAAGACAACATGTTCAAAACTTCATCACCTGGTCCCCACAAACCTACACCCTCTTCCATTCCCTCACTCTGGTAAAAGCAAGCCATCTTCTCCAGCTGCCCAAGGCAGAAGCCCAGGAGTGAGCACAATGCTGCCCTTTCCCTTGCTTCTGACTTGTCATCAATCCTATTAGAACTACGGACTGCACCCCACATCTCCTCCATCCCCACGACCACTGCCTTCATATGAACTGCCTTTCCTGTCCCCTTGACTTTCAGTGGCTTCCTTTTTTGCTCATCTGTCCACTTTCTTCCCCTTCCCTCTCTCCATCCCCCTTTTTTTCACTCCATATAGTCATCAGAAAGATCATCAAAACAGGCAAATGTGACCGTATTATTTCCCTCACTTATCTTTGTATGCCGTTTAGAGTGATTTTTAAGAGCATGCACTTTGAAATTAGGAGAACCTGTGTCTGAATCCTGATTTTGCCATTTGTATGACTTGTCAGGTTATTTAATCTCTTTGAGCCTGTCCCTCCTCAGTGAAATAGGAATAATAATACCTACCTCATAGAGTTGTTGTGAGGTTTCAGTGAGATAGACTGTTTCTAAAGTGTGTAGCACAGTGCCTGGCACATAGTGGGTGCTCACATTGGAGCACACTATTGTTCCTATCCCTACAGGTGTGAGTTTTACATCCTTTCCAAGAGGCATTTGCTAATAACCCTAACTACCGCCTATCCCTGTGACACTGTATTCTGCCTCAGCACCTTGTTTATTTCCCTTGTAGATATTTTCTAAATCTGTATTTTATTTATTTGTTGGCTTTTTGTCTATTTCTCTACTAGAATGTAAGCTCCCTGAGAGCAAGGATGTGTTTGTCTGATTTCCCGTTACAGCCCCAGCGCTTAGCTGAGTGACTGGCACCTAGTAAACACTCAGTAACTGCTGAATAAATGGAATAATGGTCAAAAGGCTCTTCATGATCTAATCCCTACTTCTCTCTCTGGCCTCATCCTGCCACTATCCTCATTGCACCTTCAGCTCAAGAAAAACCTCTTTACTTGCTTCTTTGAAGTGCCCCTTGGGCCTCCGTGTCTTTGTACCTGTTGTTCCCTTTGCCTGAAACACGCTTTGCCTGCCCATCTACATGGTGAATTCCTAATCATTGGTGAAGTCTCAGCTCAATGGCTACCTCCTCTGTGAAGTTGTCCCTGATTTCTCCAGGCAGATGTTCTTTCCCCCCTTCCCAGTTCCCACTGCACTTTGTAAATACCTCCATGGAAGCACTTTATTGTATTGTATTGTAATTTTTTTTTGCATGTCTGTTTCTACTATTAGACTGTAAGCACCGTAAAAGCAGAGATTGTGCTTTTTTATCCTAATGTTCCCAGAGCCTAGCCCAGTGCCTGGCACATAATAGCTTGTCATTAAATATTTGTTGAATGAATCTGTGAATGAAAAAGAGTCATGCAATTGAAAAAGTGTTAGAAGCTGTATGTATTATAAAGGAAAGAAATGCCCTTGGTGGCTTCCAGGGTTTTTTTTTTGTTTTTTTTGTTTTGTTTTGTTTTGTTTTGTTTTGTCTAAAAAGGAGATCTAGAGAGTGTTATACAATCTCTTTGAATATAGGATCAATTGTTTGGATTTTTAAAATAATATAGAGCTTCATAAATAATTGCAAAGATATAAACAAGCTTTGTGATTTCTCAAATGCTATGAAGTCCAAAATAAGTATTTGCACTATTAGTATTTCCATAGTAAATGCTATGAGAATATGTACAGCAATAAATTTTGAAGCTTTAAAACTGTTTGTGTAAGTCATCTTCAATGACTTAATCCATGAAGGACATCTCTGGATTATGTTTCTCGGGCACAGGGGACATCAAGCTGAGGGGTGGGGTCCCAAAGTTCACAGGTCAGGCAGGGAACACCAGTCAGTTAAAACCCAATTAGCTAGCAGTAGCTGTGGGATTTGGACTTGGAGCAGCAGGCCATCAAAATGCATGCCTCGAAGGATCTGGAGTAGGCTTTCAAATTTTAATTTGCATGCTGGTTTTCTCTATAAGGGCACATACAAATATTATGTGAAAACAGTTACTTTTTTCAATTATTTGACTTTTAATGATGGGAAAACAAAAAGTTTTTTATTTCCTCACATTTATATAGCATTTTATAATTTATGGAACACTTTCACCTCCATTAATGTTATCTTTGAATTTTAATCTACATGTAAGCCATGTAATATGTACATATTCTTCTTTTCTTTATTTATGAGTTAAGGAATCTAAGACCCAGATAAGTTAAATGACTTATCCTAGCCAATAATATTCAGAGAGGGAAATTTGAATGTAGAGGTTTTCTGTTTCTAGAACGCCACACAACCTTCCAATGCTATTCTCCACTCAGGTCTTAAGCTGACAAAAAGCAACACAGTTTGGTTTAACAAGTACAGTGTGACTGTGGACTGAAAGCTGAGTGATTCTTCCAAGGAAATCTGGTCCTTTTATGGGTGACTAGTCAAAGCTTTTCCAGTAACCCCCCGCCGCTGAGAAATCTTTACTAGGATTATTTATCTTATAAAAGAAGTGAGAATAGGTAAAGCTTCTTAATCACAGAATGTTAAAAATTATTTTTATCTGACGGTTAGGGTTTCATTTGTAGTACTTTCAGCTTTTTGCCTCATGAACTTGATGTTCTGAGAAGTCTGGCAGCAAGATGCAACGGGACCATAGGCCCTGGGGCAAGAGTCCCCAACCTTTTTGGCACCAGGGACTGTTTTCATGGAAGACAATTTTTCCAGAGACCAGGGTGGGATGGGTTGATGGTTCTGAGATGAAACTATTCCACCTCAGATCATCAGGCATTAGAGTCACATAAGGAGTGTGCAACCTAGATCCCTCGCATGTGCGGGTCACAATAGAGTTCGTGCGCCAATGAGAATCTAACGCCACAGCTGATCTGAGGAAGCGGAGCTCAGGCGGGAATGCCCGCTCACCTGCTCACCTCCTGCTGTGTGGCCGGGTTCCCAGCAGGCTGAAGATCAGTATGAGTCTGCTGCCGCCCGGGGCTTGGGGTCCCTGATGTAGGGCATGTGTAAAACCATTCACTGGGAGTGGGAAAATAGCTGACCTTTTAATATTTGTTTTTATCTAATGTTTTCGTGATTCTAATTTTTGAGTTTTTGTATATACACATTAGAACAGTACATGTATATAATTTGTAAGTAAATACCCATAAATTTGGGAATACGTTTTTGTTTCAGAAAGGATTTATTAGCAAAGGAATTTTGAGACCATTGCTCCAGTGCAGGACTCCTCATCGGGGGTCCATATTCCGCTGGAGTCAAGGAGCCTGCCAGACTCTTGCCATTACACACACAATTTTATGACGATGAGCCTTTCTCCTGGGGTAGTATCAGTAGCTTCTGTAGAATTCTCAATGGGGAATGTATA